GTGCTCAGAGGGGTTGTTGCCAATGTGGTTGAAGACATTCTCCTTCATAGTAGATATCAATAATCTGGGCTTCCAACATTTTGAGAGTCCGAGGCTGGAGGATCGATTGAGCCCAGGAGTTTGAGACCAGCCTGGGAAATATAGGGAGACCCTGTCTCTACAAAAAAGGTAAAATAAATCTTAGCAGGCTGTGAGGGTGCATTATTTGAGATGCCAGCTCCCTAGGAGGCTGAGGTATGAGGATCACTTGAACCCAGAAGGTAGAGGCTGCAATGACCCATGATCACACCACTGTACTGCAGCCTGGGTGACAGAACAAGTCCCTGTCTAAGAAAAAAATATCCACTACAACTATGGTATAGTTAGCAAAACCAAGTACAGTGACATTAGCTGACAGAACTTTAAGTGGCTGATAAATGCAATGGATGCTCTTGATTCCCATCAGTAAAAAAGCCATATTTCCTAGATGTCATAAGCAAGTAGCTAAGAAATAGGAATTTTCCTTTAAATCAGTCCACCTAGATGACTGTGATCTCATAGAGATATTGTAACTAAATCATCATTCCGCTCTTTGTTTCAACACTTTTTAGCATTTTTCAAAGTCAATTTAATGCTTGTGAGTAGATACTGAGCAGAGTTAGAAAATAATAGTTTATGCTAAAGTTACCAGCAGCACAATATTATTAAATAATTCAGTTTCAATATTGTAAAACTTCTCCAGTTCACTGATACTGTTGGTATTTTGCAAGGGTTACGATTTACAGCATAATATTGATTAGGTCAGCAAAGCTACTCTGATATGACTTATGGGTGTGGAAACACCAACACCCTAGAACAGAATTTTTAAAAAACCCATAATAATAACAGGTTATTGAGAGTCAAAGAGCCCATTTATAGGTGAAACAGTTGGCAGGTAAAGAGGTAAAGAAGAAAGAGAACAAAAGAAGACTTGAAAATAATGCAGAAGGCTGGGTGCCATGACTCACACATGTAATCCCAGCCCTTTGGGAGGCCGAGGCAGGCATCACTTGAGGTCAGGAGTTGAAGACCAGCCTGGTCAACATGGTGAAACCCTGTCTCTAATAAAAATA